ACACACACACACACACCATCAGTATCAAGTGAGGCAGCACTCATGTGTACTGAAAATAAATACATCTTTATTATTCTTATCTCTACAGAGTGATCCCTCCCCTGCATCCCACTGACAAGACATCAATACAAAATACACATTATTAATAGACATCAATAGAAATTAATAGACACCAACAGTGAAGTGTAATTAGAAGTGTGTGAAGAATACACGATCAATAAAAATAAAAGCATGTAGAGCCTCAGAGCACACAGTGAGCGTTGGTCCAGCAGAGCAGTTTGTGATCAGTGAACGTTTCCTAAAAACACAAAATCAAAATGGTCAGAATCTAAAGGTGAAAGGTCCATTTAATAATGGGTGATGATTTAGAGCATTCACACCTGAGCCAGCGCCATCAGCTGAATAAAGACTGGCTAAAGGCTCAGAATCATTAATACATAATTGGACCTTCAAGCTTAGAATCCATTCACCATAAATTGCTCCCAAAAATCAAAAAACGAATATCTGCAAAACACTAAGTCAATACATTTTTTTCCAAAGGTTCAGCTTTCAGTAGATACTTTCAAATGTGAGTCTGTGTGGACATTTTCAGAATCCTTGTTCCAAGAAGAAAATTTTAAAAAAGAAATAATAATAAGGAGGTATTTAGGAGCATGGTTGTCTTGATTGACAGGTGATCACACTCACCAATGGTTGGTGCAGAGCAATTGTTTCACCTCAGCTACTCCGAGGGTTTTTCTGTATTCAATAATGGATTGGATATCTGGAAACCTAAGACCACACAGACACTGTGTTGATGTTCAGTAATCGGTGATTAGTAATTAATTGTTCAGTGAACAATCAGTTCTGTGGATTCTGTGCAAAGTAGGAAAATTGCAGTTTTTCTCAATAAAACCAGCAAGTTGCAGATTCATGTGTATCAGACATTTGTGCTGAAGTGTTGCATGATGACTGATCACATCTGAAATGTTAGCAGTGATTTACTGATTTATTAACAATACTCTCAGTAATCAGTATCTATATTCATATTATGGCATCAGATAGTGTGAAGCTAACATGCTAATGAAGCTAACATGCTAACACAGCTATGGTTTGGACTACTCTGCCCACTCACCCATAATGGCTAATCCCCTCCCTCTGACCGGTCATCACATCATCATCACTGTCGCCATGACAACTTACTGAAAACCTGCTGCTAAGCCTAACCTCCACAGTACCTCATGACATCACACCCTAACCTCATCACCTGCTCAGTAACAACCAGCACACACACAAAGCACAGACTGGGTGTTAAAGGAATCCTTTCATTCAGGACGTGATTAGCCTAGCTTAGCACAAAGACTGGAGACAAGGGGAAACTGCTAGCCTAGCTCAATCAAGACAGAAAACAACCCACTGTACAACTCCAAAGTTGTCTAATTTACATATCTTGTATCTTGTTTATTGAGCAGCTGTAGAAATAGGAATATGAACTGAGGACATTCTGGTTTTAGCAGTTGATTTGTTGGCTAATAACTGCTGCAGGCAGTGACTGCACACAGCATCTAAAAAGCTGTGTCCTACAGGCCAGCTTTCAGTACAATTCACACAGGGTGTCTCATATGATACATAATATAACAAACACTGATATCTGGTTTTTAGAGCTCTGATTCTTATATAATAAAATTACTTTTGGTGATGATTTCTCATCTGCTAAAATAACTAAAAACACCTATGTAAATGAACCTCAGGTGGACCAGGGCTTTTAGCTATACTATTTCACAGTACCTCGGTTTAAAATGATGTTAGTTAATTATGTTATAAATATCTTTTGATGGAGTTGTGACTTTCATCCATGACACAGTTGTCTGGTCAACTCACCAGCAAGGGGAGCGTCACATCAGGGAAAAACAAAGACATTTCAGAATCTGAATCTGACTTATTAAGCTGTGAAGGAGGCAAAAGGAAAAGAAGTACAATGACAGTGATGATGATGACGACAATGATGATGGAATGTTGACATCTGTAGGATCGTAATCCCTCAATCATATACATGAAATCCCTCTTTTAACTTTTTACATTAAGGTGAAATGTGCATGGAATGAGTAACTTTAAGAAGTAAAAGCTCAGTTTAACCCCTCAGCAGAATCTTATTGAAGATGAAGGACTGTAATGCATTCATAAGGCATAAGAGCACGGATTCAAACATTATTAAGGCATTTACAGTATTGTAAGGGAAGTTGGTCTGTTGCTCTCTGAACATGTAACGGCTCAATTAAGCCAAATTACTTTCCCCTCCAGTTGTATCTCTCCATGCAGAAGAAAGAAGATTTCTGCCCCCAGCCCATCCCAATACCATGGAAGACAAAGGAATTTCAGTTGTGTCTAAAAGGAGAATGACATTTAAAGTTAGAAACCTTTACATTTTCATTAACCCGGTTGTTGATATTATTTGTGATCAGCACTTTTCAGCAATAGCCATTCAATGTGATGACTTGTAATTGCTTCTCTGTATGACAGTGCTCATTGTTAAAGGCGGAGTCAAATGACCTACCTACACACAAGGGATTTACAGGAAACGATGCATGTAAGCATGTAATCCAGCATAATTCGATGTCATTGATATTAGAGCCTCAGTTTACTGTTCACCCCTACAGCCATATCAGAACTGGAAGTTACTGCTAATGCTAACACAACATGTTAACCCAACCTTTGTTGTATTGGGGTGTAGGCAGAAATGTCAAAACTTGTAACCAAAAAAGTGCAGGGAGGTAAGAGAGGAAATATGTCTTTTTTTCTCATTTCGGTGAACCAACTGTTTAACTTTTGTAGTTCTTTACAGTTTGTATTGACTACATTTAACCCTGATAACTTTATGGATTTTTCACAACAGTGTTCTAAACAGACTGTTTTCTCTACAGTTTGTTACAGTGATAAATATGTTTTAAGTTAAAAGCAACTGATCGTATTATTATTATTATTATTCTGATTATCATTATCAGGACATAATTTGTGCTAATGTCCTGACCTGATCACTAGTAGTGGTGGTACTAGTAGAGTATTAGTGGCAGTGGTAGTGGTAGTGGTAGTAGTTTAAGGCCTGACTTTGTTAGAAAACAGGAGACGCGAGGAAAAGACAGCACATCATTGCTGATGGTTCACAGGAACAGGCTCATCCTGACTGGCGTTCCCAGCATGCATCACACCGGCACACTAGAACCAACCAGACACGTAAACATCCTCGTCACGCTCTGCGTCCGGTCTGAAGTTCCGCCCTTCACCTCTCACTAACGAGCGCACTCGTTAACAGCCGGGCGGTCCACAGGTGGGGCTGGCGAGGTTTATCACATGTAGGTGATGTGTTCATTACAACATCAGTGTTACAGACATACAGTGTTACTCAGGCATACAGTGTTGCAGACAGACAGTGTTTCTGCTCAGGCTGTGGTTACTAAGGCTGAAGGTGAAAGGGTGAAAGCTCTGCTGTTGCTATGGCTACAGGGGGTGTTGCCTTGCGGGCAATGGCGATCGCCGTGGTGACACAGTAGCCAGCAGCTCGCTGTAGATCTCCCGTCGCACCTCCTGCGCCACGCTCTCTCGAATCTGGAAAATAACAGAGACACAACTGGTAAAACAGCTCCTGGTTAACAGTTAAACAGTTGCTGTCTTAACATTAAATTAACGATAATGTGAAAGACAGAAAAATGGACATTGGCTGTATTTGGAAATGTTTTCCCCTCTATGCACACAGTGAACATTAAACATTTACGTAACGACAGTAATAAATATAAGAGTTGACTCTTTAAGTACCTCTAAATTTACTATAAAGTGCAACAGACTGTTACCTCTCTGATGAGCTGCTGTAGGTTATCCACCCTGACTCCTCCTGCTGCTCCCTCAACATCTGGTATTTCTCCTCTTCTTCCTCCTCCTCCTCCTCCTCCTACCCCCCTGTACCTCTGTCCCTCCTTCTCCTCCTCCTCTTCTTCTTCCTCAGTGTTTGTGTTGGGTCGAGGCGGGGGAACGGGTGTTATGTTGATTGATGCCCGGTACACGCCTCGTCTCTGCTCCCGATCTTCTCCTCCTCCTCGGACTGGACTAGAGGATCGAGAGGAGGGGTTGGTTGAGGGGGTGTGACCATCATAGCTGATCTCTGATTGGAGGAAGAGCTGCTCTCTGAGGAGGTCTGACACCTGGACAGACAGAGGGATTGACATTGACATGATTACATTAAGACAAACTTGAGCATTATTAGCTTTATATAACAAACGTGTGTGTGTGCGCGTGCTGACCGGCTCCATTGCTCTCAGTGCAGAGGCGGTGGACAAAGTGTCAACACTGCTGTCTCTATGGAGACCCTGAGGAATAGAGAACAGGATGGACACAATTACTACATAGTCACATTAGTCTGTAATCACACATCACATTTATTTTTATAGCTTAAAGTGCCGGTGGCGTGTATTGTGTGCTGTGTGTGTATTTATACCCTATGTTGTGTCTACATATGTGGGTGTATATACCCTTTGGTTCTGTGGTGTAAATATACCCTGTTATGCGTGTGCATTACCTTCTATAAAGTGTGTATATACTCTGTTTTATGTATGTATACCATGTATCTTGTGTGCATATATACACAATCTTTTATGTGTTGTTGTTGTGTGTGTGCTGTTGGCAATAACGTAGTGGAATAACACTCTCCTCCTCTGCACTTTAACATAACACTATGATTAGATTTTTTTTGTAGATCATTTGGCTAAATGATTGTCCTGTGTGGTCATTGTGGAGAAAGTGTAGAGGACTTGCTTAATGTCCAATCTGTTCACGTGGTGTTTATTCTTAAGACAGTGTGATCATTGACTCACACATAAAATAACCCATTTCTACAATTTCCAATTTAATTATTTTAGTGCCCGCTTACACCTGCGCCTGCAAGATTTGCGTTGGGTCCTGCAGGATCCCAATCCCAATGCAGTCCTCTACCCTGCGTTGTGTGTATGTGTGTGTGTGTGCATCATGTGTATATACCCTGTATTGTGTGTGATGTGTCAGCTCCATTAGTCTGTCTTCCAGCTGTTGTTCCAGCTCCTGCAGCTCCTCTCTGACTGCTGATCTTAGAGACTGAAGCTGTTCCACCTCCATCCTGCACACACACACAAGATTTGTTTTGTGTCATAGTATAACATATCAGCACAGTCAAGGTTAGGTTGTAAAACATGCATCTGTTTGCTGTTATGAGTCACCTGTCAGCAGGACTCAGGTGTTTGTAGACCAGAGCCTGCTGTCGGATGATTGACAGCTCCAGGTCCATCATCTGACTGCGGAACAAGTTCAGGCTACGCCTTTTCTGCTGAAATTCTGCCAAAGACTAAAAACATACAGAGACAAAGTGTAACACACTTTACTGATAGCAATAACAACAGTCCTGTTATATGACTCTGAATACACATTGGTGGGAAATCAGAGGGAAACTGGAGGAGCGAGGAAGGAGGATGACAGTACCTGGTGGCTGGGCAGAGCTGCTCTGTGCTCACTGAACGTGTCCGGTGTGTCAGCTCGGTTCTAGATTGAGAGGAAAGTGAAGTTAGGAACTGGAAAACAACACGCTCCCAAAAGGATCAGTTAGAGCTAATCTAGCCAAAACAATTCACTCAAAATATGCAGATCACTAAACTAGAACTAGAACACTGCGCTCTCTGAATGCAGGACTACTTGTGGTTCAGGAGCCAGAGCCTTTAGCTACCAAGCTCCTCTCCTGTGAAACCAGCTTCCAGTTTGGGTTCGGGAGGCAGATGGCCACCCACCTAGAGTCAGGGTCTGTCCGAGGTTTCTACCTCATAAAAGGAAGTTTTTTCTTGCTGCCGTCGCTCCCTCGTGGTGGGAACTGTTGGGTCTCTAAATTATTTTATAAGGAGTACGATTTAGACCTGCTCTATTTGAAAAGTGTCCTGAGATAACTTTTTGTTATGAATCAGCGCTATACAAATAAATAATTTAATTTAATTTAAGTTAATTAAACTACAGGAAGTAATATCATTATCCCTCGTATTAGAGAGTGGCTTCAAGGGTCATAAGCAGCAGGGGACAACTGATTTACACAATTTTCCAACCCGCAAAAACAAAAACACGAGTTGGTCGACAGTCTAAGTCTAATAGGGCAACAAGTTTGTTTAACATATGGAATCTCCTTTGTTTAATCTGTAAAAGCCAGTGTAAAAACAACATTTATGGGTGATATGTGCCAAACAATTTTTTAGTCCGGACCTGTTCCAGGAAACCAGTGGAGAATTCATGAAGTTACTGGTCCTAGTGAGAGATTATTAACATTATGGATGTGCTCACTTTCAATTTTATTTCAAAACACAGTCGTAACTAATGTTTGTTGTCCCATTGAACCTATTTCTATGGCAATATGGCAAGTGCTACAAAACTAAAACCAATGAACCGTAGTTTTAATTTGATGCAAGACTACAATCACAACAGACTAGAGCTTAAGTGACTATAGCTTAATTAACAAGAGTTTACGAACTGGGACTGAAGAGGACTAACCTGGCTAAGACTCTGAACCGTTCCTCTGATCTCATGCAGAACCTTCCTCAGCTGCATCTCAGTGCTGGACGGAGCAGGAGGAGACAGACCCTGTTGGACGCTGTGACCTGGGCCAAGAGTTGAGGCTGCGCCTGGGAAGTAGCCCGAGGCAGGAGGAGCGCCCCTCGGATGCAGGCTGTGTTCTGGGGCCAACGGCGGACAATGGGGGACCAGGTGGGGGAATGCCGAGTGTGGATTCATGCTGTACCCAGGGTAACCGAGGTAGGGTGAGGCAAACTGCGAGCTGTGAGGAGTGGCATGGTAAGGTGACTGATGAGTGTATGGATGATTGCAGCCCTGGTGGTGCATTACTGGAGTTCCCGGATGCAGGTTGCCCAGACTGGAGTGGTGAGGAGCAGTGGAAGTTGGGGGATGATGCAAGTTGGAGAGGCTGCCTTGCTGGGGAATTGTGGGAGTTGTCGGATGGTGGAGGCTGGTTAGGCTAGCATGGTGCATCAAGGAGGGGTTGTGGTGGTGAAAGAGGTTAGGAAGACTGGCGTATGGCTGGAGAGGGGAGGGGTACTGCGGATGAGGGTTCAGAGTGAAGGGGTATGGGGTAGGGTTAAGGCTGGGACTACGACTGGGGCTTGGGTTTGGGTTTGCATACTGAGCTGCAGGGTTAGGATTAGGGTTAGGATAAGGGAACATGGATGGCCCTGGATTCCAACTTTGCTGGTTTTGGTTGGCGTTTATGTTCATTTGGAACTGGCTCGGCTGCTGCTGATTTGAGAAGAGATCAGGAACGCTCTGAGTGCTCCAGGAGTGGGAAGGGCCTGCTGGTGGCCAATCAGGAGGAGGGCTAGAGCTCTGCAGGGAATAGGATGACCTCATCAGGTAGCGTGGGATGGCTTTAGGTGTGATGGGAGCTTCTGTAGGAAGCCTTAGTGGTTTGTTTTTACAGTCAGACGAGGAAGGGTTTATTATCAAAGTAGACAAACAGTTGATTTGCCCTTCCTCCTCCTCCTCCTCCTCGTCCTTCTCCTCCTCCTCCTCCCTCTCCACCTCTTCCGCTTCCTTGTCCTCTTCAGCCTCCTGGGTGTATTTGAAAGAGTACCTTGGCTGGGTGCAGGACGACTGTCCTCGGCCAAACTGGATTCTGACAGAGGACACGATCCTAGAGGGTGAGAGGAGCGAGGAGGGCAGGGAGGAGGACCTCTGCAGGGGGATACCGCCTCGTCCTCGTCCTCGTCCTCGTCCTCGGTGGTCGACCTGCTGCCCTGTTCGGCTCAGCTGGTTCTGTTTGGCTCGTTTCAGAGCGCTGAGAACTGGAGAGGGTGGACCAGGAGGAGAAAGTGAACAAGAATCATCCAAGAATGCATGTTCTTCATGGGCCTCAGGACCCACTCCCTCTGTTGGTTGTTCTGTGTCTGCAGTGGTCTCAGTCTGGTTCTGAGTGTGTTGTGGATGTTGTTCTGCAGCAGACATACTCTGCGTAATCTCCGGGTCTGGTACAGGATCAGTCCGTTCCCCACTCCCAACTCGCTCTTTATCCTGGAGCTCATCCTGCTCTGTTCCCATTGGTCTGTTCAAGGGGAGTTGATGGGCTGTGTACTGGGGAACCTGCTCTGAGCTGTCATTATGATCGTCTTCTTCCCTTGAACTACTCCTCCCATCAGCCTCAGCAGCACCTCCCAGCCTCGCCTCTTCCTGTGAGCCATCTGGCAGATCAAACGCTGGTTGGTCCAGCGCTAGGGGTGTGGTCACATCTTGTGAAGGGTGTGATGTCACAGTGGTCTCGCTGTCACAGCTGTCACTACTGTCTTGCACCTAAATACACATAATTAACAATTAATTACCAATGGTACAAGAAGCACTCGGATCCTTAATATTACATATAAGAACTAATACAACAATATAAAAATACTCTTCCTTCAGTCAAAGCATAGAATTATCATCTGTTAAATGTGTTCAATGTATCAAAAGTAAAAAGAATTCATTTGGGAAAAAAAAGGTCCATGTGACTAATATAATTACATTGTTACTAATGTATGAATGTGTAAGTAGCATTTTAACTACTTTATATGAAGTCCAGTGGTTCACAACGTAGGGGTCGGTTCTGCTACACAAATTTTACATTTTTTGGACTTCTTTAACCCGGGACACTGTGATAAGTGAGCTACTGGGGCGCCCCTACACACTGATTTTTGGAAAAGGAGTCAAGCCTAAAAGGTTTGCACTACCAATTTAATCTTTACCGATGCATTGTATTTGAAAGCTTATCACGTTTTAATTTTAAATGTTACTTTTGAAATATATATACATATATTTGTTAAATAAATGTAGTTTCTCTATAATATAAATACAAAGTAGCATATAATTGAAAGTACAACTAGCTCAAAATTGTACTTTAATATAGAATTTGAGTACTTAGTTATTTTCCACCACTGTTAGTAAAACAAGATGAACTGCTGCTGGGAAAAATATATTAAGCTATACAGCAGCATTAAAGTTACCATGAGATTAATGTCGCTGAAGAATTTTCTGCATAATAATGAAAATATGATAGATATCTAGGTTTATCCTGATATGATAAATATGACAAAATGACTCTTTATCCAAAATTAAGCATTCTTTCAAATGTGGAAAACAACGAAATACAAACAACAAATATGTGATCTGTAATCATTTCTCTGGATTTAAAATTCCCACTTCATAAGGAGGACATTCATTGCCTTGTGCTCTATTGGGGAGAGGGGGGCTAACTCTGAACTACTGCATTACATACACACTTTAAAACATAGCGGAGGATTTAAACACAGGCCCTCTTTGTATAAGAGAAAAATAAACCCCCAGGCCTTATTTTCATCACAGTGTGCTTGATGCTGTAGCGATATGAGAATCTGCAGAAGCTATAGTGGTTCTGAATGTTATTCCCTCAGAGATAAAAGTCCAGACTGCCTTACAAGGTTTCCTTACACACCATGAAATCATTTTCTTCCAGTTCACATGTGATTAATCTGCATGGACATTTCTCTCTTGGTGAGATAAGGCTCTGACTGGAATTATAGGAGTCAGTTCAAATAACTTAAAGGTCAATGCTGGTGATCTAAACTGGCGGTAAAGACAGCAAACAAAACACACCTTCAGGTAGCTGTTGGAGTCGGCAGAGGGCTCCTCAGCAAAGCCACTGCTGTCTGACTGCTGACTGACAGTCCTCAACAGGTCTGAGAGAGAGACATACAATGAAACATTATGATTATTGCAGTACCCCATCTGTGCAGCTGGTGGCAGAGAACAATAATTTATACTGAGAATAAAGCATAGGCATAAAGAGACAGGACAGTCTGTCCTCACTTAGGTCTGAGAGAGGTGAGACACAGGAAACAGGCTACATACACTGTCACTGGATAAGACAGAATAAATCTACAATTTTACAGGAAGATACTCAATAGAAATTCTACTTGCAGAATAGAAGGTAGAAAGACAGACAGCCTGTTTGGTTGTCAAGTCTGGCTAATACCGATTAAGACACAGGTTATAGATCTAAGTGGTTTTAGACTAATTTTAACAAAGTTAAAACATGCCAAACTTGTATTACTAGTCACTTAAATGCAATTCCCTTTTTACAGATCAAGCTACCAACAAAATTTGTAAGAAAATGGCATTTCATTAACACAAAGAAAAAAAGAAAGAAATGTTTCAACTTGAGCAAGAAATGTGTGTGGGTTCTAGAGCTTTTTTTTATTGGCCTCATAAATAAAGAGAGACGAGAGTAAGAAGGAGTGAGACTGGACTGAGACCCACTGGAAGCAAACAAATCGTGCAACATCGCCTATTCACGCTCAATGTGTGCTCAACGCTCACAACTTGCTCACTAGCAAACATTGTATAAATAAGCAACCTGCACTTTCTCCAACAAATGATGGGACATTGTGCCAAACAGCACTTAGTTTTTGTTTGTATAGCCCTGGAGACCGGGGACATAGAAAATAACGTACAACAAAGATCTTCTCCTCCACAAACATTTATTGACACAAGGGAAACTTTCTGTCCCACCAAAAAAAAAAAAAAAACTAATTGGGGCAATTTCATAAAATATAACTTAACAACAAATGAGCATTATATAAACTATACATTTTGACACAGGGTACCTCTACAAGAGGGTCCATAAGAGAAAGGATGGAGGATCCATCATAGTTGATAGTGTACTTTAGTGGTGCAAATTTCTAACAAATTTGCGATTAATTCAATTATGTAGAACCAACAAAGGCAGGGAAGACGAAGACTACTAGCTAGTTAGCATGTAAACAATTCAGGTTTAAAAATTTCAAAGAATTGCCTTTGCAAATGTTTTATGAGGAACGAATTGCATTCATCACATTTGTTAGATCTCAAAGATACATAGATGCAAAGAGGTTCATTTGAGAGTAACCCTGAAGGAATTGTTTATAAGAAAACTTTGAAATCAAAGGTAAAGGTGAACTCACCGCTGGTTCTGGAAGTTCTGTGCGGCAGAGCCTCATCATCGTTACTCTGAATCTGAACGACAAACAACAGACTAAATCTTAAAAGAAAGAAGCGGCTGAAAGGTCAGTACTTTCACTCAGATCTTTCACCAACAGGTCAGCCTATTAACATCTATGCTTTATGCAGACACACTGGGTAAACATCCTTGTTCACTTACAGCAACAGACTATCATCATGTTCCTCAGGAGGCTGTAAAGGGACGCTGGCTTTTGAGAGGTTTCTGTCTTATGGAGTCCTTTTTTTACTCTGACCTGATTAGTGAAGCGTAAGCTCCACAGGAAGCTGTTTAAATCACACAAACAGCCTGCTGTCTATCTGTTGTGAACTAATGAACTACACCCATAATGATCAACCAAGGCCAGCATTTTCCCTGTGAGCTTTCTGGTTTAATATAGTTATATTACTCTTGCCTGCTACGGAAGGCAGGGAAATTAAATCAATAAAGCAATAAATAAAAACAAAGCTGATTTGTTTATGTGTACTATACACGTAGTGTACTGTACAGCTATGTTTCTTCAGTGCTAACAGTTAGCCCTAGTGAAGATAATACACATGCTGTTATCTCAGCTCCTCAGGAGGTGTGCTACAAACAGAAACACCATCGTGGAAGTCTGGATGACCCAGGGGAACACCTCCTCTGTGTGCGAGTATGTTGGAGAACCCTGAATTAAGAGTCCTCATAAATATGACAAAATATAAGTATGAAGAACCCAAGAGAACCCAGGAGAACACTGTACCTCCTCCATGTCGAAAGAGTCTGTGTTTTCTGTGCGAAGCTGGGCAAGCTGGAGGGGGGCCAGGGTGGGAGGAGCTTTCTCTGGGGTTGAGGTCAGGTTCTTCTCCTCCTTCTCTTGGACCGTCAGGGTTCCCTCCTCTGTTCTCTGATTGGCTGACTCAGGTTGATTCTCGCCACTGGTTGCTGGTCTGGCACCGCTCTGTTCAGGACTGATAGGAAAGGTGAGATGTTATTGTGCAGTCAGACCAAAATTCACTTCTCATTCATTTCTATGCCGGCGAGACATGTTCACTTCTGGTCAAGAATTGACCCGCCTCTTCCTAGTTGAATGTTGACACGAGAATAAAAAGGCTTTGTGAACGTTTTTTTTTTTCTTCTTTCCTTCACACATTAATGATCTCACAACCCGTTATCTTGTGACCCTTTAGTTTTGGAACTGGACTTGCTAACATTATCTACAATTACTGGTCTGTCCAGCAGTACCTGTCATCTGTCTCTCCATCCCCGTTGGTTTCCTCTGTAACTGTTGCCAGGGAACAGCTGTCTTTCTTGCGGTTGTGTTTCTGGTTGACTGTATCTGCCTGGTGGTCAGGGTCAGTACTGCAGCTGTCTTGTACTGGACCGGTGTGTGCGTGACCGTTGGTGTTTGTGTGATCAGAGGGGGCGTGTCCGTTCAACTGTGTGTGCTGGTTAGGTGTTTGTGCCTCAGTTGACTCAGAGGCGGCGGCATGCAGGTTGTGTTTGGAGAGGGTTTTCTTGAGGAGTTTGGCAACATTCAGAGCTGAGTTGCTCCTCTTTGGAGGAGGATGAGGAGACTCTTCTCCCCCTCCTTCTCCTCCTTCTCCTCCTTCTCCTCCTAATAGAGACACATGATGAACAGATCAGAATGAAAAACACTATCAGGCAAATGTAGTGCTTATTTTATGAACATAAACTCTGACGAAATACACATTGTATTCATTAACGTTTTGTCTATGGTGAAACGTTACTGAGATGAAACAGCCTTTATGAAACAAAAACAGTCACCAAATTTTTACAAAAAAGCTGTCCACCGGTGGACTTCGGTGTGGTGGCCATGGTTACCTTGGTCCCTAGGGCTGATGCGTTGGACAGGCTGACCAGAGACCTGACTGTAGAGCTGGAAGAATTCGTTAGCTACTGTAGTCAGGACCTCAATCTGACGGAAACGACCTAAGAGAGACAAAACAAAGCAGTGCATTTACTACAAAGTGCTTCACAGAGCACAAATAAAGACAGAAAAGACCATGTGAAAACTACCAACGTCTTCATTTAGGTACTAATGCCAATGAAAACCAAATGCAAATGAAAAACAGCTGCTAGAACTGATTCTTTGGGCACTTGGGGGCAGCAGAAACGAGTTGTGAACACAGTATTGACATAACCACCTTTTAAACTGAAATGTCAAACTTGTTAGCAAACAGTTACTGATTTACAGATCTTGCAGTCAACAACTTGACAAAACAGACTTTCGATTTCAGGATACACAGTAATTACATGATAGAAGTTGGGTTTCATCAAATCACAACAGATTATGCATCAGTCCAGCACAGGAAGACTGGTTTCACTGGAAATAATGGGAACATGGAGGTACATACACACGGCACAACAGCAATGTTTTTTCCAGGGGCTCCCTAACGGGTTAATCCAGACAAGGATGTAGCTAGGTAGCTAGCTAGCTACGTAGGGAAATGATGTCTCCATGTTTAATCCCACCTACAAAGCTCTGATTGGTCAATTGTTCTTCCAAACAGCGCTTCAGAGGTTTGGCACCAGGTTAACTGGATGACACAATATTGCAGGTTGGAATCAAACCCAGGCCGCTGCCCTTCCCTTTTCTTCTTCTGTGGTTGTGTAATTCAAGCTGTCAGTCTCATCTCTAACAGGATGATGACTTGCATAAATTTCTTACTTCCGTAATCACCCTCCCCACCCCCTTAATCTCTCCATCCCTCGCTGTCTAAATACTTGTCAGTCGGTTATGAAACACAGACTTCTGTCTTTTGTAACTCACTCTGATGTCATCACCTGAAATACAGAACAGGCCTGCCATCTCTTATTCTCTCCTCTCTGAACCCAACCTGACCTCTAATTCCTAAAAACCTATCCAATCCTAAAAATGTTGTGGTTAACAAATTTTATTGTCGGGATTCAGTTACTTTACTGCTGTCATGTGAAAATCTTCCAACTTCAATTTAATTTAAACATAGACGAAGAACTGAAACATCTTCTCTGGATAGAAGAAAATTAAATTACTATTACAGTGAGTTTACAATTGCAGTAGTACTACAGTAAACTTTAGTCAACACTGACGGATGCCATCAAAAATGAAAAGTCCGACATAAACCGAATTTGCCACAATTTAAAAAGGTCATTCTGTATTTTAGACAGACAGGAAACATGGGGAGAGAGGAGGAATCACATGTAACAAAGACAGGTGGAAACAAACTAAGATCAGCACACCTTCCCAATAAAGTGCAGCTGTATTAAAAAGTGGTCTGATCTGACATTTGAAAGCTATTTAAAATGGTATTTTGCTCAAAACACAGCTAGATGTAACTATGCTAGACACAACAAAGATGAAACTACCTTTGCTCACTAAAAACAAATAAGCTCATAAGCAAAAAATAACCTAGACCTAGAGGTTTTTAAACCGTGGCGGGAGAGTTGAAGGGGGAGCATAGGAGAGAGAGGTGAGGCAAGGACACTGTGTGAGGTAAAAGGGACATATGCATGTCAGAAACAACAGGAAGTTAGTCATTGTCATTGTTTGGCCCGCTGATCAACACAGTTCCCAGTTGGAGCGTTAGCAGTGACTGTCACACAGCTCATGGAGGCTATTAAGGTACTTAAATACCTTAACTGCCACCATTTGCGTCATAAATCCCACTCATTCTGAACACACAGGCATGATGAACGTATTTTTAGATTCGGCGTGACTGACATGTACACTGACATATCATTACACGTCATTTTCTCTGATCCGTCTTGTCCATTCCAATTAAATGTCCATAAATTCACTAAGAAACCAGACAAAAAAAAGACTCCAGAACTTCAGTATGAAAGTGCCAGTGAAAGTTGTCTGTACATCCATGAATACATTGCAAGCTAGAACTGCTAAAAGCTTATTCAGCATGGTCTTTCCATGGTGCCAATTTGCCAAAATCTAAACAAATACAGGCTAAAATAACCCTCAAGTTGTATCCCACAGCATAACTCACTGAATCCATGGCAACTCTGCAGCTCTATGGAGCTTTTGAGCTTTGTTTAGCTCCTAGCTTTGGTTTCACTGCACATTTACTGTATGGTTAAGTCTCAGTGCTGTCTTTAACATCATTTTCAGCAGCAGGCAGCTGTAACTTTGTGCCCATGCGGCACAAATCAAAGCAGCTAAAAAGCCAGATATTATTCTCAAAAGATGGTGGAGACAAAAACAGAGCTAAAAGGAGAGTGAATATTGGATTCTTCAGGCAGAGATAAAAACTTCAGTGGGATGACTGTGTTTCTGTCTCCTAGATGTGGAAGTAGGCAGCTGTTTGCTAAAATAGTCTGCTGCCTTTAAGTGCTAAAAAAATCAATTAATGAAACTTTAATACAAGCTGTAAATATTCTGAAAGAAGCTACAAATGCAGTTAAGACACATAAAAAAATTATTGTGTCCAAGCTACAAACCAGTCAGTCGTACAGCTGAGCTATTTCAGTCACATCTGGACATGACAACAGAACATGATCCTCTTATTTCAGCAGCTGTGTATGATGATAGTAATGCTGTGTGAGTCTGTTTCCTGCTGACTGCTGACTCCGCACTAATGCTGATTCTGAGGATCCTAAAACAGGAAGTGAGGAATAAGAGAAAACGACACGTACTCCCTCTTTTTTCTCTTCATCCCAAGAGATTCTTTCTGATGGTGAGAACAGAGCTTACATAACAAACAACAACACACACGTGTCTGGGATCCAGGGAACCGATGGAACAGTATGAGAATGTTCTGGAAAAGAAGAAAGCTTCCAGAAACCACAGACAGACCAGAGACTGTTAAAGGAGCAGTTCACTTGAAAAAAAGCTCTCGTCCGAGTCACTGCAGCTTTGCGCAAAGTTAGTTAGCAGTTAGTTTTAAAGCAAATATTTACTACATCAGGTATTAAAGTGTCTCAGGGAGTATTACTGTGTTAGTATACTTCAAATTAAGTTCTTGTTCGTCGAACAACGTCTCCCTTTCATCAAAAAACTCCTGTAACTTTCCAAAACACACAATCTAACATTCACACGCTTTATGCGTCACTGGCCAGGTGTGCGGAGGTGAGAAAGTAACCAGGGTTCTCAAACTCTCTCGCTTTCTATTTTCATTCCTCCCACAAATTCATTCCTTTTCATGTATACAACCGAGTGCAACACTGTGAATGCCCTCTAGGAGAGACTGTCCAAAAGGTAACCCCAATGGAATAATTATCACGTCTCGGCCCTCTCTGTGACAGACAGCTTTTCACATTGCCTTCAAGCTAGTCTGATGCCATGCTAATTCTTTCTTGAGCATACTTACACTATTAGTAATATATACATCATTTACAAAGTTACACCCAATTGGAAAGCAATCCGCAATGACGAAAGCTGACCTGACCTAACCTGTTTGTTCAAACAATCTCTGGTGAATTTATGGGTTTACTAGGGTTCAGACCGAGGCCGCTTGAAAGGAGACCCTAAACTACCCTAATACTGCTACTAACGGCTGACTGTGAACACTTCAGGAGGCGATTTTATAATTAGCTATCTGTAAAAGTGATCTATGATTATGCAAATCATTTGATAACCATCACAACACATATACACGACAGCATGTCAGTGTGTGGGTTGCAGCTAAAAGTGTGGTTTCACTTTATGTGGCTTTATGTGTACTCTTTTACAGCTGATTTTTGAAAAGAGCAAATAATTTGAATTCCTTAATAACCTGCATCATTGTATTGATAAGTCAGCATCACAGCTCTTAAAATTTCTCAAAACATGAAGTTGCTGCTGCAAAACACAGTAAGCTACATGAGCAAGCTAGGTAACATCATAGATGACTTTATACCAGAGATTGGCTTTTAATCTGATATCTGTGGTGGATGCGGCGATGCCAGGTCACATGACTTCCTAAAAAACTTTGGGAAAAAAAGTATGCATAAACAGATCAGGCCCGCAACTTTTTACTTTTGTTTACCACAGCCTGCAATAGCAACTGGAAGTTGAGAGACAAAACTTGAAAGGGAACAAACAAAAAAATTGACCAGCAGTCAATAAAACTGGTGAATAGTGACAAAAATAGAAATCTGTTGCACTGAACAATGTAAAAAGATACAAATTCTAGTAAAAATCTGTTCATTCCATGTTAAAGTGCTAATGTCTACTACAGAAAACTCATTAACTGTCTTATTCACTTGAAACAAACAAAAAGTGATAAGATCCAAGCGAAAATCAAACTTTTGCAGACCTTAAGTACTTTCAGCTGTGGAGTGTTCATCTTCTCACATACAGAGGATCTTTAGAGAAGCCCTTTTTTACAGCACCAAGACTGTTAAACTGTCAAGAAGAGCTGAAGGGATTCAGCCGTGTGTGTCTGTTTAATTACGGAGCCAGTACCTTCATGCACACACGAGTTTGAAAACAAAAAGAGGCCAGGATGTTAGCGGAGCAGGTCTGTGGTTGTGTGTGTGTGCGTGTCTGGGACAAACAGATCTTTGTCCTTGCTGGCGGTGTTGTCCAGGCAGTTGGCAGAACAGCTAAAAGAGCTGAAGGACCCTACAAAACGCCACAGTAATTCTGGGAACAGGACACACACACACTCTTTAAGCTTCACTTCCTCTGTCTACAGTTTCAGGACGTGAACTTCTCATCACTAACATGATTATCCCTCCATCTACAGTACTGAGGTGTTGAGGTGTTGATGCCGCTCTGAAACTGTTGGATGATGTAGAGAGTAAATTACAGTCATGAAAACAAGGACAGATGCAGGAGTAGCACTGTAAAGAGGACAGAGGTACATACTAGTCAGAGCGTAGTTGGGGTTCTCCAGTTCCATGCGCTGCAGCTGAGCTCCCAGGTAGACCTGCAGGTGAACCAGAGGAAGTGATATCATTATAAAACAGTAATGAACGACGGTGTAAGACAGTTAGCACATACAAACATTATACCTGCATTAGCATGTTAACATTGTCAATGGGAGAGGGTTGCCCTTCTGCCTTCGTACAGCCTCACAGAACCAACTGCATGGCGACAGACTCTTAGTCTTCTTAGATTAAATTTGGTTCAGATTATTACATTGGAGAGGACTTTTTCTATCTTTTCAATTACAGTTTGTTTTTACTGTCATCAGTACCTTGATGTCAATGCCTCGGGCTGAGGAAGTGCTGTTGATGAACCTGGAGGGAACCTTCGAGGCTAGGTCGGGTTCTTCTCGCCCAAAACCAAGATTTAGGAGAATTTCCTCAGGGTCCTCCTCGTACAGGTCCAGCAGCTCTGACACACTGTGGACAAACACACAGGCACTCAGTCACTCAGTCAGTAAGTTAGCCAGCCAGGCAGTCTGTTAGCTGGTGAGTTAGTCTGCTGGTTAGTTTAGTCGGTCTAACCGCAGGGTAAGGAGGATCTCCTCTGGGTGCTCCTCTGACTGCTCCAACAACTCTGAAACACTATGAAAAGACACACAGCCAGTTAGTACTTCTCACACATAGCTTTTAGTGGGTTAGTCTGTTAGTGAGGTAGTTGGTTAATTAGTTAGTTAGTGAGGTAGTTAGTAAGTGAGGCTCTGCCAATCCCCAGCTCCTCAACAGCCAAACCTAGAGGAGGTAGAGACCAGAAAGAAACCTGACCAGCAGCAGAGGATCAGCCCCCATCTTGCAAAATAGTTTTGTCTTAGTAGACAGTAATAGTTTTTTTGCCTTAAGTAAGAGGTATTGCTGAACTGGCCTGAGTGTGTACTGTTGTCTGTTTGTTGTTACTATTTGCTGTTTGTCGTTTGATGTGTACAGTTCTCTGGAAAAGAATTTCCCCTTAGGGACAATTAAGTCCTAATACAAATTGGTATTACAAACTGTTAGTCATTTACAAAGAAACATGACTGTTATAATAATGGTATGTAACAGGTTGTTATACCAGTTTAAGAACAGCTCTGAATCTCAGGAATATCCTGTTTATGGGCTTTTTGTGGGCTAGTAGCTGCTAGCCTGCAGTTGCAACTGGGCTAATGCTGCAAAAGGACTCCACAACAGAAATTCTTCATTTTAGGCATTAGATGGTCAATTGGAAAAGCTTGGCTACAAAGAGCCAAAAGTTCCAGGAAAACTGGACCTCACCATCATGGTTGCAATAAATATGTAAAGATGAGGTTTGATACCAACATTGTGGTGGCTGGTTAAACTGGCCAACATTCTTTGAGTTTAGGGGGAAATTGTGGGGAAGATGTTTCACAAATTGCAGGGACTGGTTGAATTTGCATTCTTGTGATCACAAGGTCAACCTTTGCATTCAGTTGTGCCAAAATAACTGAAAACTTGTTTTTATTTTTCAAACAATTAATTAAAGGTCTTGTATCACATGACTGGTATGAGCTAATTCTGCATCTGTGAATTAAATCAGCTGTAAATGTGTATATGTATGTTCTATATGTTTAGATGGATGAGGCTTCAGTAGTCTGAGTTAGACGAGTCTAGTGGATATCTTCGGAAACCTGAAAGATCCCTCAATCTGCTGCAAAACCCTGTCACACTGAACACAGCCCAGTGGCCAGTCTCTAAAACCTTGTACAACAGGATGGATCACCCATGATGCATCACCTACAGCCCATTCTGAACCATTACACACAAAACAATACACCATTTACCAAACAACTGGAGCACTGCCCCAAACCTTGTCCACTTAGCTACACCCCCTGCTCTGACTTCATCACCCACCGCCACCAATCACAGACTGATATCCAGCACAGGTAATTAGTTCAACAGTAAGTCCTTGAAACACAGATCTTCTCATGCACCTTAAATATCAAGATATGTATTTAATTTAAAGTATATTGACCACACATACGTCATGCTTCAATGACGGAGTTCTGTAAAGGTAAAGATTTCTGATAGAGCAATGACACTGTGAGCTGTTATCATCATTCAAACCAACCAGTCAAATATCACTGGGAGGAGCTGAGAAAACCTGGTTCATGTCTTTACGGTTGTAGGTGATACAAGAAAGAAGCTTCAGTTGAGACAAAACAAAACCTTCTCACCAGAAACTAACCACAATGGCTCAAACCACTGTGGGAACATCTTTGTATATGTATATGTATATGTATATATATATATCTTCATACGTCTTACACACAATGTTGCATGTGACCATTTGAAATGAAGCAATGTCTACCTAATACAATAGCCCAACTTTTGAAGCTCATACCAATGCTCATATTGAAATCCAACAACAGCATATTGGCTGATGTCATTTTTTTATATTTTTAAAAAAGGATGCCTTGAATAGGTTTTCGTTTCCCTTTTTAAAAAAGAATCCTGTGAGATATGAATTCAGTAGGACATTTTAGAGTTCAAAAATAAACTTTTTAGAATTCTCTGGTAGACAAACATACTTTATATTCAGTGTTTTTGTACTGCACAGTGGTTAACTTGCTGAGGAGTTGAAAGTATGCAGCCTGTTGCCTGCAGCTCTTCATCTTTCAGCTCACTGTGGCTCTTCCATTACTCCCTGACATAGTTAAAACTGATCTGCTGTTGAACAAAAACCCAAAATGGCAGCTGACTTGTTTTTTAGACAAATTTTTGACAAAAGATTGCAGTCAGTGCTAACCTTGGTGACTAATACATTGTGTTTCCCGTGGCCGTTTCACAATAAAAGCCACCCCTGCAGCAGCAGGAGGAAATGTTGTGTTAGCATTAGCAGTGACTTAACACAGCTCTGATACAGCTGCAACAGTAACCAATGAGGTTAATACTGTATCAATAAGATCAAATGACAAAATGGATTACACACATTATTTGCTGTGAATCCCTCATTGCCTATGAAGACAATTTCAAACTAAAATTCCTTTTAAAAGCGTGGGAATGGTGGACTCCGCCACTAACAATAAAATTACTATTAAGAGTAATTACATATTGTCAATACAATCAGTCGCTATTGCTGGAAAAAGCCAACCAAACATAATCTCAAAAACAGGTTTCATTTCATGAAAATTATTATAACTTTAATATTTTATCCTTATTGTTTCATTTGAAGGATTTTATGGACCCGAAGAGGTGGAGAGTATGCAGTATATTACAAGGAGAAAAAAAAACTGAATAAAATCCCCAAAAACAATTGTAATTTTGTGTAACTGGATTATTATTTTCTACTTTTGTTAATCATGTTGTGGCNNGCCACAACATGATTAACAAAAGTATCATCTTGGGACCTCTTGGTTGTGAACAATGGCACTACGTGCCTGTGCCACAAACAATCCGTGTGGTATCATCTGATTGGTTTGAATTGAGCTTTAAGAACTGCCCTCTGTGTATCACTGCGTTACTTCCTTCAGAAACCTCCCTGAGTCTGACGGTGAACTGATGAGACTGACCTGGACACGGTGCTGCTCTTCCCTGATCCTGTGGAGTTCATACTTCTTCCTTTCTCTTTATACCGACTCCTCTTCTGATCCGCCACCAGACCAAAACTATACACACATTAACAAAGATACATTAACACACATCGGCAGAGAGAAAGGAAACTGAGTTATCAACCAGCTAGAACTATTTACTCAATGTAGATAATAAAAAAACAAAGTGACTCACCAGGATTCAGTTTTATTGTTACTGGACTGAAGATGGTTGGCTGCAGAGAAAAACAAGATAATAAAGATTACTCATGAATCAATAAAAACAATATTTTGTTGATTAGACTGAAGGAAGGCAGAATATTAGCGCTGGACTAATGATCATTTTTAATTAATAATTTTCGATTGACTGGGGAATCAAAATTATCAATATGCTGATTTCCCCCCACAGATCAAGCTAACTTCTTAAAATTGCTTCTTTTATCGGACAAACAACAGCCTGTTAATCTAATTGAATTGCACTAAACTCATCCACAAACAATGATGCACCAATCTTAGCAACAGTAACTAGGCCTGCAAGGCAAAGGCTTTGGATTTCCCCACATGTTAAAGTTGTGTACATGGAGCTATAGTAAGACTGATGTTCTGCACTTAAAGAGTCTGGAAGGTAGTGTGACTTGTAGCAATTCCAAAACCAAAAACACAAGTGCAAAAGTGTGAAGAATGGATTAAACCATCTTTATCTGCTCTTACATAAGCTGCAATTATTAGCATGTCTCCTAACTAGCTTACTACTTACAGTAATAAAAGAGTACATTTTAGATTAAAACTCAGTTCACAACTAGCACATCCACTGTGTGGAAGGCAGTTCTGGATGTTATTGGAGTTTATGTGAATGTGAACGGATCTGTTGTGCTCTTTTTTGGGGCTTTTGGGAAGTTCAAATTCCAGCAACCTCAGATAAGGTTACACAAAATTGTTACGTTTGCCAAACATGAGTTAGTCCTCATCCGCAAAGTCTTTTGAAGACGCAATGTTCAAATATGAACAAGTAACAGGTTTACGTTACATTTTTTATTCATTGTTATAATACTAGGACTACCGACCTAGCTCTACATACAGGTCTTCATCTTCTATATTATCAACTGGTGAATATGATTAATTTTCTCCTGGGACATGTACTGTAGCTTTAGCCTCAGTCTTTTAGCACAATATCAAGTGTGTATCTAAGTGCATATTTAAGACACTTTCTCTTTTTAAATTGACTCAGAGTGTTTTCAATTAACTCGTGAAGCTAGTGTTAGCTTGATTAGCTAGATAGCTATAGCAGAAATAACTCCCAGTGCCAGTTGTCATTTCAGTAAGCATTATCAATGGTCACCTCTTCAAAAAAGCTGTTTTTTTCTAACTAAGGAACCATTGTTTCAAAAATTGTCTCAAAGTATTTTGAGGGTTAAATCTGCTGCCATTCAGACTTAATAAATAATGCAGAAGCAGCTGAATGAAGTGAAAGTCATCACCAGCTGGAGGTGTGACCAATTCAAAAATTCAAAAGAACCTGTTGGGACCTGTCGCCCTCCCACTGTCAGTCTAAGTGCCTCTCTCTCTTTTCCAGTTAATTTCAGCTGAATTTCTTCTCCTTTCTTCTATCCACAGTGTTTCCTTAGCTCATGGAAAACTGGATTAGAGGAGCCAAACTTAACAGAAAACTTGCTCCTTACACTAATTCACTAACTCACTTCCATTCAATTGACCCTGAATCCTTTAATAGACTAATTCACTTCCCTCCAATTCACACGTTAACACTTTAATCCCGTCCCATCCTGTCCCGATAATGTTTGGCATCATTACAGCCCATTAGGATCTGTTCAGACATGACATCTCCAAGGTCTACTGTTCTGAAAAATGTCACTCTCAACATGATTACTGTCAGACAAAGCAACATGAGGAGAGATTTATGCTGATGACAAGAAGTCATCAGCCATTTAGCTCACGATCACAGCTCTCATTCATAGTCCTTAGCCACATCAGGAAGCTATTTCAGTTGGTGAACATATTGGAACATTTACTCTCCTCGGGAGTTGGTAGAAAACAAAACTAAAAGGAGAGAGTTACATTTATCACGTGGGCACGAAGATCACAAGTTAATTTAGCCCGTTATCTTGAGAACACAAAAGGCTGATTTCTCAAGATAACAAGATTTGAAGAATCCGACCAAACCAGAGCAAAGTTGCACTGAGAATAACTATAGAAATAGTCAATCTTCTCGCTTAAGGTGTTGTTTGTTTATGTAGGTCATATTGAGGCAGTTAAAAACGACTGAATATATCATGAGAACATTTATGAAATGAGATCAAGATCCCTGATTCTTTTCATGCACTTTTTTCTGGCTGCAGTGTGGAAATTAGTATTAGCTGGCATATTTCATGTCATTCCAATGCTATATGTATAATACACCATCTATGCATGTTAAATTAAAAATAAATCACAACTTAATGCTTTATGTCTGTCTGCAAACGAGCACCTCACCAGAAGAGGCGTGCATTTGTCCTCCAGAATCTGTGTCTCCACCAGGTAACGTCTAAATGAAGAATCATTTCTAATGATTTGGTGTGAAGCAAGACAAAGCGTTGTAACAGTGATTGTATTTGCAAACACATGACAGAAAAACTTTTCAAAAGAAGACCTTGGACGAGGTGTTTCAATGTTAGCAAGAAATTAAATCAACCAGGTTAAGAAATAAAGCTGGAGGATCGGTTGGAGGACACATTAAAGGTCAAATTACTTGTTAATTAATTATAAACGCGTAAATTATTAATGCTGAAATGACAAATTCATCACTTGAGCACTAGATTTAAGTGGCGGCAAGAGAGCAGCTGTTGTGGTCTTTGATACAGTTTAGTTACAATATAATTACAGTTTACTTCATTTAATGTGACACACAGTAATAGAGACTGTTGTTTCTGAACAGAACGTCTCTGATCAAAACCCACTGTCCACACACACGCGTCAGTGTTCAGTGCTTCAACATAAAGTCATTACAGACTATTGTTCACTCAATAACACATACACTCTTGCTATCAGAGCCATAACTGATGCATTCACAGCAGATCAGAGGAATGATGCAAACACACACACACACATTCAGAGGACAGTCAGTCATGCGTGCAGTGTTTTTCCACACCTATGTGACTGTTGACTTTTCCCTCATGAAGAAACAGGGCAGAGGAATGAAGATGGAGCGGTGTATCACCTGGTGTTGATTCTACTGACACTGTTGTGTTTGTCAGTCATCTGCCTGTCACGTCATTTACACTCATGTGATCAAGCTGCATTACTCATTATATTAAAGGGTTTTTTTGTACATCACACATAAGGCTGAACAATTCAACATCCTTATAGCAAAATCTTGGTGTAAAAGACAGCATTTTTCAAATTACAAGAGCGATTATTTTTTGTTTTTTTTATGAAGTGAAACCTACAAGCCAGTTCAGGCAGGCAACTCATGTCTGCGGGTCTATTTAAGCCATCAGTCCTCTGCTCACTCTTTCTGCATGCCTGCTGCCACACTGCTCGCCTGAAAGCTTTGCTGTCACTTGCTACTATTCATGTGACATTTCCAAGCCCCACCTGTACTCCTGAAGGTGCTACAGGGTTTGGTTCAGTTAGAACAAACTGCATTTGCCCACCTAGTGTGGTTCGTTTGGGCTGGTGTAAAAGCTCCTAGTTTAAATCTGGTGCAGATTAAACAACCAGATCAGGACCACATTAAAAGAAAAGGAGGGTCTTAGTCTGCATACTCTGGTGCAGTTTGTTTGTGGTCTGAAAGCAAATAAACCAACCACAGAGTCTGTTTTTTCCCCTAAAAAGTCTATATTTTGTTATTAGATTGATGCAAGTTAGTAATGCAAGTTAGACGGTTTCATAAAAATAAAGTCTGAATTTTCTAAAGTCACCAAAACAGCCACCACTGTGTGGACATTGCCAATAACTTTCGTATGACCAATTCCTAGTTTACACAGAATTCATAGCAAATTAGTCCTAATAAAAATCAAGAAGTAAACAGCTTTGTGCTATAGATAAATTTGGATGTCTATCTGAAGTCTTATCTCTGTGAAACTGGCCCATTGTTGGACCGGATAATAACTACGAACTTGCCCTTTATCTCACTCTACATGTATACTCACTGTACCTGTCTGATAAAACCCACTGTCACTGTATGCACTTCTTTTTTATGTATTTATTTTTGATTGTTGCTGGTGGACCTGTTTATCTGTATCTTAACACTATGTATTATTATATTACTTACTTATGAAGATATGCGGGTTGTTGGGTTAGTAATAAGTAAAGTAATAAAGTCCTAACGAACTGCACTCCTCTCCTGTCGGACGCACTGGAATACAAAAGGAAGCGTAGCAGACTTCAGCACTGGAGCTGAAAGTATTAAGGGCGCAGGCAGACATGAGGCTGCAGACACAGCACATGCATTGCCCTGTCTGTCCTCCGTTTCAGTCACACTTTTTCTATTTTCATTACTGTTAGGTTGTTTTTCAAATCAGGAGTTTCTCGACTAATGATTAGAATCATCGACATTTGGGGGAAAGCACTACCAATGTTTATCGTCTAATCTGACCCTGGGTAAGATGGAGAACAAGAGGATTTAACTAAATGTCAAAGTGTTCCCTAAGTTGGTGGCGTCAGTTAAAATACATAATTAGCAGAAAATGGGGGGAAACTAAACAATGAGCAGGAACGTCTAATCTTGTTTATATTGTGAGGTTCTCTCTGTACTGACCTTCAGCTCCCAGTGAAAGGTCATCTTCAAAGCTGCAGCCGTTCCTCAGCACTCCTGTTCTCACACACACCCAGAGTACACACAAAGCAGTTACGTTGTGAAATCCTTTTAGTAACATATCACCAATGAATAGCTTGAAGTATTTAGTCAGAAACCAAAGTCCCAGGAATGGAGGAGCTGTCAGTCAGAGGTTATTCTGCAAGTCACCAGTAAATCTCAAGTCTTTGCATTCAAGTCCCAAGTCAAGACTGTCAAGTCCTAAACTTTGAGTCATAAGTCATTATGCGCTTTTTACCAAATGTAATGGCATTTTAATAACAGAGTAATAATA